TCAAACCCAAAACCTATTTTCCTTAGCAACTTACCATTGCTACCTATTTTTATTTATTGTTTTAAAACCNTTGAATCTAACTACTTTCTTTCATTGTTTTCAAACCCAAAACCTATTTTCCTTAGCAACTTACCATTGCTACCTATTTTTATTTATTGTTTTAAAACCTTTTCAACCTAGCTTAATCACTTAGGATTATATCTTTTGTGACTCTAGTTCCTTGTGGATTCGATCCCTAAGTACTACGATTGAACCTCTTATTTGAGAGAATAAATCACTCCTTAGGGTTAAACATTTGAGTGACATCAAAGCATAGAATACATAATCTGGTTAATGTAATGCCGTTGTTCGAATTGTTGAACCTTAAAAAAAAATATTAAGTTAAAATTTAAATAAAAAAAATATTTAAATATATTAATACAAATGGAGAAACATATATAGTGTATCCTCGTGGTTCGGGATGGAGAACCCGGAGGTTCTCTCGGCCTGGTTGTGGAACCAAAAGCTCAACCGGCATGGTGCCCGGCTCATAGTGAACGTTTGGATCAAACGCCGCTGCTGAAGGTGCTGGAGGAGGAATAGAATTTTGCTCCTGCGAAGATTCCGATACACGTGAAGTACTCCCAGAACGATTTGCATGAGGTAGGCCGCGGCGAAGTGATGATGGTCTAGGCTCGAACCTGCGAAAAAAAAAAAAATTTAAACATTACTCGATATATATAAATATAAACAACTTATGATAAAAAAATAAAAAAAAATCATACAATTGAATACATTGTTAGTTAACAAAAAATCAAGATTATATTAAAATCAATATATATATATATATGTCTATTATCACATATATAATTTTATTTAGCTTTTAAAAAAGTTTTACAACTCTTTAAAACGTTTTTATATAATAGAACTTGAATAAAACGTTTGTAAATATATTTTAAAACCTATCTAAACGCTTTAGAAAATATTTTTAACATATAAAATTCAGAAAAAAAAATATTCATCTAAAACCTAAATTATCCATCAATCTACAACCTAAACCCGAAATTCTAATCAATTCAATCCTAAAACTATGAGTTCAATCCGGGAATCTATTCAATTCAATCATAAAACTACCAAATTATTATCCACAACCTAAAACTACCAAACTATGGTTTCAAGAGAGAGGGTTTAGGATCTCTTACATGGTTTTAAGAGAGAGAGGGGGCGAGGACAGCGGATTCTTCGGAGGGAGAGGAGGCGAGGACGTCGGAGATCGGAGGGAGAGGAAGCGAGGACCGGTTTCGTCGGAGATAACAAGGAGAATCGAGAGAGAAATGAAGAAGAAGAGACTCTGGTTTTTTAATTGAAACAATCCGACGGACCAGTTTCGTCGGAATTCCATCAGAAATCTCATTACGCGATTAACCAAAAAAATTCGCGAAATTTCTACCCGGGTAAATGAGAAATTCCGACGACATCGCGACGAAATCGATCCCGTCAGAATTATTCCTTCGAAATTCCCTTGGATACTCTCGAATATGACAATCCGACGACACGGGAAAGGAGAGGATGTTCTGCTTTTGGAAATATTCCGTCGGAATTCCGTTAGAAATTTCCGAAGGTCATGAAAATTCGGTCGAAAGTCCGTCAGAAATTTCTGACGGAATTACATGTCCATCGGAAATTTCTGACGGAATTTCGACGACATAGCATTAGAGGTTTCAAAAAATCAAGTTTATGATCAAATACAACACTTAGTTAGT